AGTAGGTTTGATTGAGTGCTTGGTGATTGTCATACTTTGTAAATCCCTGACACCAAATCCCCTCTGGGCAGGGGATAGCTCTGCCTGCTGAAGCAAAAATAGAGGAGTGTAGAGCAGGCTGAGAGCTTCCATCCTTCCTGCAGAGCTGCAGTTTGAGACTTCCTTGCTGATGAGACTTCCTCTTAGTCTTTGCAGCATATGATTTCCAGGTGCTGTTCTGATAGCTCTGAACTTCTTGCCCAAGGGGGCTTGGGTGGCAAACGCATTAGTTATGTATTTATACTGCCCACCTGTCAGTAGTGGTGAGCTACTGCAGCTTTGATGCCTGGTAGTTTTTATACTTGGAAAAAAACTGCTGCAGTTGGCTAGGGTGGAGATCTCTTGGAGGAGGAGTTCTTTGTTGTGGAAAGTCAAGGTTCAAGGAAATATCTGTCTAATATACCTTGAACTAATTTTAAAGTGAAGTGACTATGCAATTAGGTCCTGAGACCGGTGAAAAAGAAGGCTTGTTGGTACAATTGTGTTGCCGTGTTATTTCAAAAGCTGCTGGGCCACAGCTAACCACATACACACACAAAAAAAGACACCAAAGAAGTGTGGTCACATTTAGAAGTGGTTTGCAAATTAAGCTTACTGGCTGGAAGAGAGATCCCTTCAGGAAGATGACTAGAAAGGGCTGGTTATTGTGTGGCACTGGCTCTTGTCTTCAGTGAGTGGCAGCAAGAGACTTGTCTCTGCAGGCTTGTGTCTGGAGCAGTCATGTTAGAGCAGTTGTCTGGGGAGGTTATGGACTGCACCGACTTTTTGGCACATGAAGATGACAGCAAAACATGACAGAGATGATAACCTGATGACTAGAGCAGAAGAGAGTGGGCTATCATTTTAAAGTCAAACGACTGTATTGGAAGAGCTCCCCGGTACAGGCAACCCCCCAGGAGAGTAGTATTGCATTTTTTACGTGCTTCAGGTTTCCTTCCTTATTGCAAGAGGAAGATTTAAAATTTCCTGTGAAGTTACCCTAAGATAAAGTCTTCCTTGAGAATTGCAAATAATGCACTTTCACTTAGTCTAGGCTAAGTGGGGTTTCTCCTAGGTGCTGAAAAATGTTCATTGGCTTATGTATCCAGTTTAATGTTGCCACAGCATCTTAGGTAACAAGTATTTCCTTATTACTATTTGAATTGACTTATTGTAAGTGCTGAGCCAGTTGCTTTGCTGTGAATTGTACCAGCTTTTATGGTGTTATGACGGTAGTATCTAGGCTGAGTAACTTTGGGCTGTTCAGTCTTTACCAGCTTTCTCCTTTAAATTCATCATTTTGAGCTCCAATGTGGTATGAAACTTAAACCTCTCTATAGTGGCTTTCTACTGGATAGCTCTTGATGGAAAGTTCATGTGTTACTGCCAGAGGCTTTGACTGAGCACATAATTTTGATGTCTTATTCGTGAACCAGGGAACTTCTTTTGCTGTGACAGAGTTGGGATGAGAGAATAGTTTTTTTTCTCTTAGATTATTTTGTCTGCATATGGACATTGTTAGATGTAGCCTTGCCTGTTCCTTCAAGTGTAAACTGCAAGTCTAGGAGGAGGATTGGAGAAAACCCTTGTTCTGGAGCTTATATTTGCAACCCTTCTCAAAACTTGGAGGAGCTCCAAACACAGGACCTGTGCCACTGAGTTATTAGTTTTGAGTTCTGCATGACTGTTCTTCAGTGGGAAGTTTGTATCTTGTAACATTGCTTATCTGAAAAGTGCAGGGACAGAAATGGACCACTGGGGCTCAGGTTGTGGTTTTGTGTTTTTTCAAAGCTTGTTGTGTGGGAAGCATTTGCCCAGTTGGTTTCAAACTTGATGGGATGTAGCAGCCATATGCTTCCTTGCCTGGGATGTTAATTTTTTTGTCAGTTTGACCCTTGTTTTTCTCAGGTGGTATTTTTTCCACTTCCTTTTGTGAGGAAGAGGGGGAGTCAACAGACTTCCTAACATGTGTAGAAAAGCTTTTTTTTTTTTCTTTTTTAGGTAAAAAATTGCCATTTAAAAACCTGTTGGCTGGTAGATGCACACTAGCTTCAGCCTTTCCTCTTGGCTTACTATTCCTGTTTTCCCTGGGATTCAAAGGTGTTTCTGACTCTTCTCCCATGTGTGCGTTTAATAGTGGTGCCATAATGTATAGTGGATCTTCTTTAGACTACAGTGCTCAAGGTTGTGACACAAATCTGTTCTGCTATAGTGCATCATGATTTTTATCCTCTGTCTTCCTTCATGTGTTTAAAAATCCAGAACTTGGAGAGAAATTTGTTTACATTAGTTTGCTTAAAAGGTTGTTTTTGTGCTTGTAGGCAGAGGCTTACAACTCTCAAATGAAAACCACATAGAAGAAAGACCTGTAACTTTCAGTGTTCCTTTCTCATGGTAGTATGGCCAGCTAATGGTTTCTTGGATGTGTCAAGACTTGTTTATGTGTGATGTTAATAAAAAATGGCTATTCTGTGTTAACTAACACTCATTCACACCCTTCTGTAATCTGAATTTTCGAGTTTAAGCAAGTTCTACATTTACATTTTCAAAGCAATTAGACTTTCTTCGCCATGTTCTATCCAGTTTAACAGAAGAGTCCACTTCTGAACATGTGTGCAGTTTCTGGAGTCCAGAAGCGAACTGCACAGCTAACTTGAAAGGCTTGAGCTAGAATGTGTTAGCAGCTAAACACCACTTCCCTGCCACTTCTCCCCTAGCTCCATGCTAGTGAGGGGTCTGGTAAATGCTGCCCTACTGTGTGAAAACCCTTTGGTTGGGCACTCTGACACTGCTGTGAGTAATACTGCCTCACATAACTAGAGTGCCTGCAGCAGGGAGCAAGACCAGCCTGTGCTTGAGGGCAGGGGCCAGTATTCAGAGCTGCAGACAGGGAGACTTGGTCAGAAATGTCTGCTGCACTTCTACAATTGGTTGAAGTGGCCCTGGTTTTGTGCCTGTGCTACCATGGGTAGTCAGAGCTGTGTCATGAACCATTTTGGTTGAGGATGGGAAAGAGCACTTCTTTCAGAGCTGATGCTAAACTGACCAGGTCAGAAACTGTGGCATCAGCAATAAAAAAGGCAATACTTTCCTCTAGTTTGGAACCAATGTTTCTCTTAGAAAGAAAAAAGGCATCGCTCTAAGAGTATTGGTGGGGGTGAGATGTTGTCAGTTTTAGAGTTTGACGTCAAATCACTCTTGAAGTGACTTGAAACAAAATGATGAGAGTTTTGTATGTCCTTAACGGTTCAGGCTGGGGTAGTGGTCACAGATAAACTATCACAGCACTAACCCAAAGCTCAAGGTGCTGTGTGTGCAGTTGCAGCTGATGCTTCCTTGCTGCTTTGGGGGGTGAGGTTTTCTGGTGAAGAGAGAGTTCAGTCTACACACACAAACAATCCCTTCTGGCTGAGGGTAGGATTTTCCAGGCAGTTGGCTGAGGTGATTCCCTGGATGTACAGAACCAGTTTTGGTCACCATCAGCCAGCAGGGTATTTGAATTGGCTGCCTGGAATGGAGAGACCTGCTCTCTGGTGACTCCTGCATAGCCAGTGTGGGCAGCTGGGACATGTGTGGTTGTGCTTGTAGGGTTAGGGAAGCTTAAGACCTCAGTGCTGAATCTAGATGGTGTGCTTGGTGGTGGTAAGATGTGGCAGTATGTAAGTCTGGCCAAAGAGGATGGAGGTGAGATAATGAACTGAAATACTCTGTGTGAGGGATGCTTTTGTTTCCAGGCTGGGATTCTTGTGTGCATCTCATCTGCTGTCAGGTCTACTTTGTTTTTATTAAGACTTTTGTGAAGGCCTTATTTGCTCAAACAGAAGGTATTTAGATTTGCTGCCCCGGTGCTTCCAATTAGTGAACTTGTGCCTCCAGCTTCCTTCCAGTTGTTTATTGAACCAGGTGTCTGCTGCACAGCCTCTTCCCTTGCTCTGAGCGTGACCTGCTTTCCTCATGCTGGCGGAAAAAGTAGGGCAGATTTCTAGCTTTGGGTATTATTAGCCAGGAAACAAAAAGACACCCTGGGTTTTTATCACCCCCTCCTGAAAGAGCTAACCTGTGATGAGGGAGTGCTTCAGGAAGCAGTATGGTGATGCCAAGAGCCCTGGTCTGTGGGAGGGTGGAGATCAGGCTCTCCAGTCTATTCCCTGGCTGCCTGGAGGGGTTCATTTGGCTGCAGATGGAGGGACAATAAAAGGGCTGCAACTGGGTTACTCCCTAATGAAGTCCTTGGACAGGAGAGTTTCTAGAGTTGAGGAACATAATCAAACCCTAAACTTACAGGAATTTTTTTAGGCATAAGCCAAAAGTTTACCTCAGAATGAGTGGCAGCAAAGTTTGGCCTGACCATCCTTGTGTGTGGCCTTGGTTCTCAGGACACCACAGGCACTGTTGGTTGAACTGCATTTAGACTGTGCTAGTGCTGTTCCCTGTACACCTGTAGTTGGGATATAACAGAATTCAGCCTGGAAACAGCTTGAGCACCTAGTTTTTTAAGACTGATTGTTTTACATTTCTGGAGCTCAGTGTTAGTGCTGTATCTTGCTGACCAGCTGATTACATGGATTGCTGAAGGCCAACAGTCAAAATAGGATCCAGACCACTCATTAAAGTAGATGGGTTTTCGTGGTGATCTGCTTTAAGAATTTTGTCCCCACCTTTGAGGGTAGATGGTGATGGTGGCAGTTGCAGTAGTATTGATTACTAATCAATACTTAAGCCACAAATTTACTGTCTCTCCCTAAAACTTCTAGGGAACTGATGGGTAACTGCTGTTGTTAAAGAATAACCAAAGGTTTTTGTCCTGACATACCTTGTTTGATTCCTTAAAATAGAACAATGCTGCTCATATCTGACTTACCACAGCTTGGCAGCTGTATATGAATAACCTATTTTGTGACATGCTTTCAGTCTTGTCTTTTTTTTTTTTTTCCTCCAGTTTTAATTTAACCTATAATACTGTTCTTTTTCATTTCTTTCAGAATGGACTGCTGAATTGGGATTTATTGCAGACTCAACAGTACAGCACTGCTCGTTGCTTCATCTATTACTAGTTATTTAAATTGGACTTTTAATATCCTGCCAGCTGCTGTCCACACACACATGGTGCATTGTTGCCATTCTCAGAATTGCATCTTTGAAACCCAGACCCTCAGTAACCTTCATCGAAGAAAGAGGCGACCTCCTGCGTACTTTTATAGAGGGATTTTTTGGGCCTGCTGCCCTCTGGCTTTCTTGCTGGTGCTGTATTTCTGAGACACTATGGAGCCCAGTATGGAGTACTGCTTGGCGCAGGTGCTGCAGAAGGATGTTGGAAAGAGACTTCAGGTTGGCCAGGAACTGATCGATTACTTCTCAGATAAACAGAAGTCAGCTGACCTTGAACACGATCAGACTATGCTGGATAAAATGGTTGATGGACTGGCCACTTCTTGGGTAAATTCCAGCAATTATAAGGTAAGAATTGTCAGGTGGAATGTGATTATTGTCAGAAGTTTTGATGTTAAGTGTTACTTGATGTAAGTGAAAGTTGTATAGTAGACATGCTGTTGTACTATTCTGTAAGCTGGTAATTATGCTGAATCCACCATTGCTGTTCCACATCTTGGTAGCTGCTATGATATTGAGGACTCAAGGCAGTAAGAATTCAGTAAATGGTGTATTAAGCACAAGTGGATTTATATTTGGTGTTCATAGTTTGTAATACCCTGGTTTATTTGTGTACCTTGTTACGTGGTGGCACGCTTAGATCATCCCAGTAGTTAGCAGTGTTGATTTCCTGCGATATTAACAGAGTTTATAAAACTACAGAAAGCATATATAAACAGCAGTATTTTTCATTGTCATTAAATCTTGCCAGACTTTTTTCCCTATTTTCTCTGGGCGACTTAGACACAATAGATCAATTGTACTTAGCTCAAGAAAGGTAATGTGTGTGTATGTATCTTCTGTTGAGTGTGATAGTGTAGAAATGACTTGGTAGGACGTGGAACTCCACTGCCTTGTTATCCCTGTTATGTTGCTTCATCTCTCTGCAGGTCTTAGTGAGGAAGTCCTACCACAGTGAGTACTGTGGGAGTGGGGAGAGCTTCTCCTCTGTGGCTTAGAAAACTCCTGTCCTGGTCTGTTCTTGAGGCACTTGGACAAGTCTAATAGGGGTACTTAAGATATTGTATGGGATGTAATAGGAGACTTTGTTCCTGTCTCTTAAGTCCAGGAAAATCTGAGAGCGAAAGTTCCTACAGAGCTGAGCCTGAAGATACTTAACTGAAGGTTGTACTGAAGTTCGTGAACTTCTGGAGAAGTGAAGGAGGGAGTGGCTGTGTAGGTTGCAAGTGCTCTGGAGCTCAACATCTTCAAATTAATTTAAGTTATTTTTAACAGAACTTTTGATTGAGAAGTGGTGTGAGTTTGCGGAGTGTTGGTTAATGTGTTCTGCACAGCTGCATTTTTTTCTCTACATTTTTGTCAACAAGCAGCTGTAGTAGAAACTGTTAGATATATTGGGGGAAAAAAACCCCCAAACCCTAAAAACACAACTGCCAAAATCAGTATGGTCTCAATAGAGGATCCATTCTGCTGGAGCACATGAAGAACTTTTTAGTTTGCTGTTGTGAACAGTGTACATAGAATTTTCTGAAATTGCATATTCTTATTCCCTTTTTTCTTGCTCACTGGCTTTCTCTGACAGACTTCCATGATTCTCAGTGGAAGGGTAACCGTATCACAGTAAAACTGAAATTGTTACAAAATGTGCTTTTTGCATGGATTTTTACTAACTGATATGGATCACAGAGCTATGCAGTGCTTTGCAATTCCAGAGTCACTCTTAGTTTGCAGAATTTCTTTTCAGATAACTTGCTCCCCTTCCCAGTCTTTTGTCTGTTGAACTGCACGCTTACAGTGATTACTGAGGTATTCATTTTCCAGTAACAAACTGGTGGCACTTTTGTACTGCAGTGACTCTGTTCCAGAACTCATGCTGCTGAGCTGGCTGTTCATTAATGTATGTGTTCTATAGATAGCATTTGCTGTGATTAATAAGTTCTAGTAAGCATAACAGAGACATGTCTCGGATATCTGGAGAGTGTTTTCTCAGTGAATGAGTATAATAGGGGATGTGAAGCCCTTGCGTGGGGCAAGCTGGCTATCTGGAGGTTAGTGGTGTGGTGAGATCTGCTTCAGGATCCAGCCAGGCCTTAGTGCACCATCATGTGCCAATTCTTTCCTTTGTTTTAGTGCCTGCATCTGCATTTTTGTCCCCTTTCTTCTTGGCTGCTTGTGGGGTGGGGGTTCAGATGCTCAGCTCTGTCTGGTGTGAAGGGAGCATAGGGGGGCTGGTGTCATCTGATCCAGTTCATGGATTAGTGTGTCCACCTTGAAAGCCCAAGCATCACTGCCCTAGAACAACCATCTGGAGAGATAAACTGCAGTTGTTTGGTCACAGCTGAAAAAGACATTACATTTGTAGTCTGTTTCTCTTCTCATCTCAGTCCCTTAGTTTGAAAAAGTATCAGCTGAAAACAAAGATTGAGATCATCTTCAGGATTTGAAATTTCCTTAGAGTTCAGTGATAAAGCACGTGGTCTCAGAATTAGACCAAGTTTGTGTAACAGACCCATTGTCTTGGGACAGCATCCAGTTGATTCGTGGCCCCTACTTGTTTGGGACTCATCTAACTGTACACTTGTGCTTACATGATATCACCAAGGAATCATCAGTGAACCAAAGAGAAGTGATATCTCTAAGGTAAACTGGTTCAGTTTGAATTAGAAGGAGCTTGAGCTGATGATGAAATTATTACACCTTGACAGGAAGGGCTCAAGCTGTTTCATTGGCATGCAATTCTGAGCTGTGTAAGTCATGGCCATCTTTGGTGGTTTTAGGCTTTGGTGTTTTTCTGTGTGTTTTTTCTGTTTTAACATTACAATATTTTGTGAAGTTTTTGACCTCAGCACCCTGAGTGGAGACAATGTAATCTTCTTTTTCAAGTGATGCAGCAACAAAGAGTGATGGAGGGCATGCTTCTCTTTCCATATTGCTGTCCAAGTCTGTAAAAACATCATGTGTGAAACATAGTGAGACCTAACACACTTCTGATAGCACTCAGCCCTCTGAAACTCTTGTAATAAATGGTCTTGTGACCTGATCACTGGTTCCTTCTTCCTAACAGGCAGCTGCCTTAGGTGCAGAAGGCGCTTGGAGAGTTCAAGGTGCTTTTCAAGTCAAGGAAACCTAAGGATGGTTGTATGAAGCAAGGCGCTGAGGTCCAATGCAAACCCATTTGAGTGTTTGTGCTTGCCAGGAGCGCTCTTGAACTGCACCCAACAGGCACTGCCTGGCCTATGTTTTCCCAGCAGTATTTATAGGTGTGTGGAAGACAGAAGAACAGAGCAGAGTGAGAGATGAATTCACTTTGAGAGCTCTTACTCCTCTTTGAAGCACAGTTACTTGGAGCAAACAGCCTGTGTTTGTGTGGGCAGTAGGAGTCATGTGTTACACCAACCAGGTTGGGCTGGGAAGGTATTTTAGGATGCTGCAGACCAAGGAGGAATCCTGCCCCTGTTCTGTTTCTTCATGTGTTTTGTTTGCTTGCTCTGTGCTGTTTCGGGATGGTAGTTCTGCTTGACTCCATTTCTTCCCCTGCTAAGCATAAAAGGGAGTTATTTTGCTGAGCTTTGAGTCTCTGAACAATAACTAAGGCCTGCACAGCTGTCTTTCTTGAGACATGAAGCAAAACAGCACAGTAGTGTCAGGGACTTCAGCATGTCCTCCCAACTTCACAATCCTGCAGCAAGGGAGAGGGCTATAATGTCGGTAATCCCTTGGTGAGCAATCTCTCTCTGAGCTGCTTGTGGCACTATTTAGTAATGTTGCTGTTAAGTGTGCAGGATCTCCTGGCTCATCTCTGGCTGATGTGCCTTTCTCTGTACCCAGACTAGGATGTGCCATTGATGTTTCCTCTCGAGGTGTAAGGGTAAAGTAATATGTCCAGGATCTTAAAGTGATTTTCTACCAACCTGATATTCCTAGAGGTGAACTGAGGGTATTTGGCAGTGACCCACTTCTCCACAACAGTATTGTACTGTTGTCCCCATCTAGCAATGTTGATGAGGTCTCTTGCTCATTTTTCTTCCCTGGGATGTGTGGCCTGGGCTGTTGGAGTTGAGGTTTACATGGGAAATAGCCCTTGTTATTGCTAGTTGCTTTTCCATAAATGCTCAGGAGTGAAGTAGACTTAGAGATTTAGTGGTGACAGCCTTCAAGCAGGTCAGGATCCAACATATTAAAGAGAGATTCTAGTCAATGTTTCTTGTGTTGCAGAGTGGTAGGAGAGACCAGTTTGAACTGAAACTGGGTGGAGGTTTGCAGTAAGGAATTGGATGAAACATTTTTTTTTTCCATGCACTCTGGCAAGGAGTGATTTTTTTGGGTCTGCACTGCTCTCGCTGGACAGGGTTTGCTTTCCAGGGAGAGTATCTCACCCTTGCATGGGATGATCCCTTTTACCCAGTGCAGCTAATCTATGTGAGGCTCTGTGCCCAGCAGCCTGCAGGACTGGGTTTTGCCTCTGAGTGGGGACTTAGGGACTGACATGGTTAACAGACCCCCATGTCTGAGGACACTTCCACATCCACAGCCTCCTGCTGTTCTGGTAGACCCAGTCTGTCAGGCTGGGCTGTGTCCTTAAGCTTGCTTTGTGTTCATGTATGCAGGACTTCAGATATGATTTGTTTAGCTGATGTTGTTACTTACAGAGACATTATGCTCTTAAAAATAAAATATATGGTGAGATGTTACAGAGAAATTTTTTGGTGTGGTGAAATACTGCAGGGAAATTTTATTTCCCCTGACAGAATTCCTAATAGTGTTAGAGAAAGCAGCCGTCCATTCTGATCTGTTTCTGAATATCAAGCATTAAAAGAGCATGCCTCACTGAACTGAAGAGAAATAAAACTTACATACATAAATTAACTGGCTTTCTTAAACTGTGTATTGAATAATTTTTTTTTTTGCTTTGCTAATTGAGGGGTAGAACAGATGGTGCAGGCTTAGTTTGAAGTAACGTCCATTAGAGTTACTTAAGCTGATGAATGGTTGTTCACTGTAAGCATACATTTGTTCTCTATACCATGTTTATTTTGGTTGAAATGCAGTGGAAGAAGTCCTGATTTAAGAAATAATTATCATGCATGGTTATGGGTTGATATGATAATTTGGTAAGTGTGTTTTGTTAAGTATTTAATGCATGGGGGAAAAGGACGTCACCATCTGGGGAAGAAAAAGGAACTTGTAAAGGGTTTCCTTTACAGCAGCTGCTGTTAGCTGGTGATGCTGGGGGTACTTGAAGATCAGTAATGTATACATTCATTTAGTACTTTGATCCCTTAAAACCTCTTTACCAGAGGCTGAAATTGCAAATAAAAATGAATTAAATTAGTTTTGATATGATAACT